TTCAAGCAGGTAAGAAAACTTCAATATACAGCCTATAGTGATTTTGAAATGAATATTTTAGGCCATTGTCTGCTGTGGAGGCTCCTAATCCTACACAGCAACCTAATCCTAGCACTAGAACTAATATCTTAAGTGATTTTTTGAAATGAATATTGGCTGAAATCTGTAGTTGTTACAAGGATGGAATGGAATATTGTTTACTGAAATTTTAGAATGGAATACTGTTTGCTAAAATTTGTATTTTCTGAAATATGTAATGGAATAATATATAGGCTGCTGAAAGTGTATTTGCTGAAATCATTGGGTGCAGAAATCTGTAAGTATGGAAATCAGTTGGAGAAAAGATAAGGCTATTGTTATGTTAGCTGGAATCTATGTTTGTATGTAGAAATCAGTAAGGTGGCGATCAAGGCTGCTATAAATTGCAGAAATCAGTGAGAAGAAGGAAGAGAAAAAGCTAAGAGCAGTTGCTGAAAACAGTAGTTGAACACAGTAAGAAGACAAATTTAGTGGTTTGTTGTTGAATTCATATAAGGAAAGGAGGAAGAGAGCTAAGGGAAGGAGTGGGTTGAATGAGAAGAGGCTTAGTAGAGGTGGTATACAAAAGGAAAAGAAGGTAGAATTTAGGAGAATCAATTCCTCGCAAGGTGAGATACCCAAACGTTGTTATAGGAAATAGTAAAATTTCATATAATAGTAAACCTCATATTTGAGGTAAATTATAATAGCATTAAATTCCAATTTCATCATGTATTTACTTATTGAATTTTCAAAGTACAAAATGTGAAATGTGTTAGAAAGGTAAGATAAGTCATATGGGGGATAGGCCATTACAAGTAAAGGTGACAGACCTGACGAGATAAGCCTGCACTCTTTCAATTATAAAAGTTGAGAATTCTGACCCAACCTTAAATGAGAGAGTATCCTCAAATTTAAAAGTTGGGAATACGGACCCAACCTTGATTTGGAGAGTTGTGAGTGTGCAAAAGCCTATAATCTTTTCAAAGTATTGATCAGTAAACAGAATATGAAATGATGCTTTTGTACAGTTTATATTTATTATAGAATTTTCAAGTTGTTCCCAATTGATTACAAACATATTATTATTTTGTATACATTACTTGTGTATTTTATTGAGTTGTAGCTCATTAATAGTTGTACTACATGAAAGGGGAAGGAGTTGGTGGGGCATTAGACGGGATGATTGATTGTCATTTCTGTGTACATACATTTTGGTGTACATAGAGGTCAAAGTAGAAGCTATACATAAACTTTTGAGTATATAAATGTTATTTAAAAGTTTAGTAAATCTCTGTATTTTAATTGACGTATTTATTAGATGTGTTTTAATATGCTTATAGTTATGAAATATTGATTCTAGTTTTATGTTTTGTGAGACTTGAAGTTTTGGAAAAATTTGAATGGATCATTTCCTACTCACTTGGTCCTGATAGAAGTAAGCTATGATGGGTGTTAGTAAGAGATAGGTCTATTCAAATTCTCTCTCTCTGGTACACTCTAGATTGACTATAGGGGGGTCAAAATGGGGTGTGACAAAAACACATATGGCAGCAACTTTTTCATGGATCCAAAGATAGGTGGGCTGGTTGTTTCCACCAGCCCTGAATATTTGTTGCTATTTATCCTCAAAAAGAAACGGACTTGATTGGCATATGCTGCATTGATAGCTGCATGTAAAAATGGAGCCCTGATTACTATTATCCTGATGTCCCCTAGCCACCATTGTAAAGGGCTAATTGCATAATAAATTTTTAATATATTTCTACAGATTTTCTGATGCTATGTGGATTGTATTCCCATATTTTATTGGTTGTTATTTCTATTTGTATTTGATTCCTGTTGTAATTAATCTGGAAGATTCACAATTAATTCTCTCTTAGAGCTAAGAGTCGTTGCATAATTCATTTTATAAAACAATTGTAATCAGGGTCGATTTAAGTCCAAGAATGCCAAGGCGACTGAAGGAGTACTGAACTTGAAATTGATAGGTTCCTCCTCTTATCTTCTTGCTCTTCATTGCTATCTTTTGGAAATTATATATATGGGATTTGGTGTCACACTCTTTTGGAGTTAAACCCACTTCATGTCATTGAATCTTCTTTGTTAACTGTCATCCAGATGAATCTATTGAAAGTTTCAAGGTCGACAGTAAAAGAAAATACCAAGGTTCATGGCATCAACAACTTTAAGACTTTCTTCCAAGTTCAGCGGCTAAATTTAGTTTGTCTTCTGTTGACTTCCATTAATCAAGGATAGGTCATGCTCCAAATTGATATCAGTGAAGCAGAGTAGAAATATGAAAAAACTTCTTTGAATTTTATTGCCCACTTTCTATATAAGGAGTGAAGGTATACATAGGCTCTTCTTAAGGTGTTACACATGAAAATAGATCAACGCTAATTACATAAAATAAACAAATAAATCCTAAAAATGGGGGTGGAGGGTGTTGACGGTTATGTGGAGGAGAAGAGCACACAAATCTGCAATCCAAAGGCTACAAGAGAGAAGATCCAATGGCTAATCTCCTCAATCCAAATTAAAAGATCCATAGCATGATTGGCAGCATAGTCGGACCAATGAATTCCGAACCTATAGTGAAAATAGCTGCTAGAAAACCCTAGACGTGTGAATGAGGCAAAGGAGTGGGCTATGTGGGAGAAGATCCAATGATTAATCTCCTCAATCAATGTGCTCAAGGATCCATACTATGATTGGAAATATAGTGGGACCCTACGAATTCCAAACCTATAGAAAAAATAGCTACTAGGAAATCTTGGACGTGAGAAGGACGCAAAAGAGTGGATCCCAAAAGTCTTCAACAATTAGATCAATATTGTTTATATGGAGCAACTTAGGGTATGTTGCCTAGGGAAAAACCTGTAAAAGCTTCAAAGAACCATATATGATATGAAAGAAACTCCTTGTGCATGGTTGGATAAACTCAACAAGATTTTTATTAATATTGGACTACAATGTAGTAATATGAATCATTGTCTTTATTTGGCACTCTTTCTCTAGTATTATGGCTCTTGTTAAGCATGCTAATGACATTTCTCTCACAAGTCACAAGTGGTGTCCAAGCATTATTGAAATAAAGCAATACCTTTAAAAGATGTTAGTTACCAAAGATATAGGATGTTTAAAATATTTTCTTGTGATTGAGTTTACATATAAAAAAAAACCTCTCTCTATCTCTCTTAAAAAATATATGCTACATACGAACTTGAATAAATGTTTTTCAAATACAAGCTACTGAATCTCCCATGGACACACTACAAACATCTGAGAATAAGGAAATCTTTAAATATGCTTCTTATTATCGATGCCTGGTAGGCAAAATAATCCATCTATCAATAGACCTAGCATATCTTTTATTGTTGGTATAGCTAGCTAGCACAAGCAAAATCGGAAGAAAAATTAGGAGGTTGTCGTGAGGATTTTAAAATATGTCAACAGATTTCTAGAAAAAGAATTAGTCTAGTAAAGGATTAATCATAGAACAGATTTTGATTATGCTAGATCAATTAAAGATATGAAGTCGACTTCCAGATATTATATATTTATTTGTGAAAATATTGTGATTTGGAGAAAAAGTAAATAGTAGTGACAAGATCTAATGCTAAAACATGATACAAGTTCATAGCTCAATCTACCAATGATTTGATATCATTATTTAAAATTACGTAAGAAGAGGGGTGCCTCGAGGCCTACCTCACTGAATTTTTGAAAAATAATGCCACAAGACATGCGCCTCACGTTGGTTTAATAAAGTGTATGCCTTAATGGAGTTCAGGTACTAGATTGAGCAATTTGTAAGAGATGTAAACTTCAAGAAATAGGATTTAAGTGTTCTAAAACTTTTAATTTATAAATTTACATACATAGCAAATCATATTTTGTTTTTTATTTATGCCTAAACATAAAACAAATATAATCGAGAATTAAGATCACATGCACCACCTTGACGCCAGCCACATGTTGGACTTGCATCCAATGCTGCTTGCAGCTGCAACTAAGGATGAGTGAAGAAGAAAAGTAACTCACTATAATAATGACTCGGATGAAGACCACAATAAAAAGGGGTAGACTTGAATTCATAATTGTAATCTTATATACTTTAACAATTTGTTCATGTTGAATAGAAAATGGGAGAGATTTATTGTTATTATACTTTGACTTGTTACTTTGATTTCTTACCTTGATGTTAGTGTGTTACTTATTATTTTATATTTTTTATTAATTTAATATTTTAATTCTAATGCTTACACATCAAAACTTCTTAAGATTTACGCCTTGTATTATGAATAAAAAAACACATTAATACCTTATCACAAAATTAATGATATAGGTAAAAATTCTTCTTAAAAATTATGGTTTTCTTTTCACCCAAATTATAATTTTAAGCTAAGATAATCAAGTTGGCATCTATATTGTGCTAGCAAGTCAGCCTTCTACGAAAGGAATACATCAAAGTTGGTTGTCCCTCATCAAAGATGTTTTTGTCAAAGAAGATCATCACACCTCATATTGTTAGTTAAAAATAATTGACTAACATCTTACCATGCCATATGGGCCTCAAGTTGGAACTAGCTGATATATATACACGAATTTGAGAGAGAGTGTTAGTGTAGGAAATTATCTTATTTGGGAAATGATTCACATTTGTTTAGTGGTATATATTAATTGGATGTACCCTAGATCAATGTACTCATTTCTTATAAAAGGGGTTCTCTACAAATAATACACCCAAAAAACATTATTTTCCTCAAAATAACCATAAAATATAACTGTATAAAGCAGGATGAATATCCATCAAAATCCATAGCAGATGAAAGGTTAACCAAATATTCAAATCCAATGCTTAATGTATTCATTCTTAACTCTCAGATATGATTGAACCAAGGAACTGAGTAATAATAAAAACTAAAAGTTCTGTTCAAAATACTAAATGCAGAAAAGAATCGAATAAACAGGAATACCTGTATGCACAAAATTGCAGCTAATCTAGCTTTAGAGCTACGATAACAATCACCATCAAGTGGAGTTGCATCATTATCACTATGTTCTGAATCTGATGAAAATAAACTTAACCTAGAAGATTCAGAATCAGAAGCGCTCTCGGCACTTGGTAAGCACATGTTATTTCCTTCTCTTCTTCGTAGATGAGGGGGTCTATAAGGAACTCGTTCACTTTTCCATGATTCCAAATTTTCAGAAGTCTGGTATGCAGAATTAATCCCATTGTTTTTAGATTCAACAGCTGTGGATGCTGAAGAAGATCTACTAGGGAGACCATATGTTAAAAACAATTGCAACGTTGTAACAAAACCTGCCACCTGGGGGAGCATGTTTAGGAGGAAAACGGGAAAAAAGGCAAATTTAATGAGTAAATAAATTTTATGAACTCACATGTGCTGATAAAGAACCTTTTGGATCCGATAGAATCAAATGGAGACAGTGAAATAGGGAAGTATAGAATCTGAAACATGTACCAAATAAGGTTCAAAATAATTTACATTAGCCGCCAATAACAATCCTTGAAAATAAAGAAATAAAGAAGTACCTGGACATGATACCACTAACAATTACATTTTTTGAGGCCAGGAAATCCATCAATTTCCTCAAGACCTATTATTTATAAAAAAAATGAGTAAATTGTAAGTGTAACAAGCATAAAAAGAGAGCGCGTGCCAACCTCAACCACAGCATTCCATAAGCTTTCCGACATAGAAGCTCCAATTTTAGATAAAGCATCACCCAGAAGGGACAATGCCATAATTTCTGTCTCACGTAAGCGGCTGCATTTGGGCTTGGCAGACCCATTATCAGTAGTATACCAGGCGTCATTTTCATTGTGCAAGGAAAGCAACTCAGAATGCAAGCTTGAGATAATGAAAATAAGAAGTCTTGTCAAATGATTGGTCTCTGATAACAAACAATTTCTCCCGTATACCTTGATAATGAGCCTGAAAATTCAGGGCATGCCAAATAGCATTAGTATCAATGCTGAGAAGCAAAGCTGATAAAAATCAAATACTGAAAGGTTATCCCAAAAAGATAAGCAAAGTAAACGAAATCTTCCAAGTCTCAAATCCTGATTTGTTAATAGCTTCTATGCAACCAAGCCTAGGTACCAAAAAACAAATGAAAAAAACAATGTCTATCTAAATTTTCCCTACAAATGTACCAAAACATCTTAAAATTTCCAAGCAGATAAAAACTATGAACCCAGTAATCACTTTAAACCAAATATTAAAAACAAACCTGAGAATTTCCAAAATCTCAGCCATCGCTTTCAATCTAAAAGTGCTGCTCAAATTGCTCTTCTTATTAGCACTGCCAATTACATTTTCCATTGTAAGTTCAAGAAAATTGAGCATCACAGTCCAAGAAAATGAGTTAAGTTCCAATCGAACTCTGCAACAAACATCATGGATCTGTACCATTAAAGAATACCATAATTACCGGGAAGCATGACTTGCAAGAGGGGACTCGTGAATTAAGTAAACAATAAAACATAACCATAAAATATAACACAAGAATAAGAACTGTTTTGACTAGTCCATGATGAAAAATGATTCCTGTCAGTTTATCACTCAATGAATTAATGACTTCAATGAGAATTTAGAAAAAAGAGACATTTCAAGCTTTAATGACATATAACACCACATAATAGTATTGTAGTAAATTGCACTAAGTTCTTCAAAGATAAAATTAAAGTTTAAGGATCTTCAAAAGATAAAATATGTAAATTTGCACTAAGTCCGAAAAAAAAAAGAAGTAGAAAGTTTTTTAAGCTATTGAAGAAGAATCTCAAATAAATTAGAAAAGGTAAGCAACTAAAATCCAATATAAAATAAACAAATTTTTGCTTAAGCTCCCAAACCATATACCAACCAGTAAATTGTAGGTGGAGAATAAAGATCAAACCAATCTGGCAAGGTTTATCCAAAAGACATGTTATAATTTTAGGCTGTGGCCCTTAAAAACAAAATAGTGAACTTCATAGATCATTTCAGAAGTACTGTAGGTAACATCCACAGATGTTAAAAAGGAACTAAGCGATATGAAAAATGCCAAAGCAAAGAAAACCATGCCAAGTAAATCACTCTAACTAATGCAAAATAATGTTTGCTTTGCTCCAACAGGAAAGCCTATTTTTATCTACAGAACTTTTTATGCGCTTATATTTTTTCCTTCTTTTTTCAAATGGTTTTGATATTAGATAATATACTAACTAAAATCACCATTGAAAACATGGTCAAAATGAACCCTAGACTATTTATGGAGAGATCACTTTAGTCCAAGACTATTTAAAATGCCCAATTTAGTCTAATGACTACTTAAATATGATCCAAAATAGTCCCATAATTTGAATCCCTGTCTAATTTGATGGAAATTTCCTGCAAAGTTCACCAAAGGCTGGGAACGAGGATATTTCATGGAAATCAAGATGTTTTAAGACTTCATTTTCCAAAATACCTTTATTCACCACCTTATTCATAAACTTTGCCTCAATTTTTTGTCAAATTCAATAGCGATTTTAATTGTTGGATTATTTTAAATTATATTTGAGAAAACAGAGAACTAAATTGGTTATTTTAAATAATATGGGACTAAAATATCCTACCACAAATATCCTAGGGGACATTTTAGACATTTTCTCAATAACAATTATACATAATAGTTAGATTTCTGGTAACACCTAATAACTGACTAATACCCTGTTTATTCCAAAAAAAAGGCAATCAAATTCAATCTGCCCTGACCCCTATTTATCTCATGCCACTTGCTGTTGGGAAGCATAAAAACTATCTCACTAAACAAAAACTTTTCTCTAGTTTTCTCACATAGCAGAAGTTTCAAAGAACATTTGATGCCTTTCATGTGTAAACTACTGCAACTTTTACAGACGATCTCTTAAAATTAAAGATCAACTTCTGCGCTTACATGTAAAAATATTGAATAAAAACTGCATGTCACATGCCCTTCACTTCAATGGGGGCCTTCTACATTTCATTCTTTTACTCTTTCAAGCAACCAAACTTTGCTCCTCACTCTGCATATTGAATTTCAAAAATAATGCCTTCTCTTCTTCATCACTATTACCCCCCACCTACGTTATTATTTTAACTACAAAAATGACAACTTGTATCTTTTTGGATATATTTTAAGAGTAAATTCAAAAATTTTTAAGATATATTTCAATATAATTTTGATTATAATATACTAATAAACTTTTTTTACTTAAATTTTCTCTAAATATGAAATTAAATGATAATAAGAAAAATAAAAAAACTAAAATAAATAATGTAGTATGACTTTATAAAAAAAATTTATAATGTGAATTTTATATATAATTTATAGGTGTAAATTATACTTAAATATATAACATAAATTAGCAAATATTTATATTAAAATTATATATTTATATATAAACTAATTTTTTATTAAATATAAATAGTATATAATTACATTCATCATTTAATTTAATTAAATTATTTAATAATTTAATTATATTGAGAGAATATGTCATAATCTGCTAAAAAGTACATAGTTTAAATTTTTAAAATTATAAGGTTTAAGGTTAGACTATTATATTATTATGTTAATTTTCTTAATTTTGAATAATATTATCATTTCTTATATCATTCGGTTTGACCCCAGTTCGATCAATCGAATCAGTTCAATCGTAAACCTCTCATTCTGATTCGGTTTTCACAACCTTGGCTCCGTCTTCTCTGAAAATACAAAGTCTATTATCTCTCTAATGTTTTTTTTTTAGGATCATGAATGAGTTGCTTTCTCATATATTTCTTTTCACTGAAGAATGAGTAGAGAGTCTTCAATAAATTTTATAGGTCAAAAATGCTTGGATAGTATTATTGCTGAAGTGGCTTGAGATGATGATGCAAAGGTATCGTTCTCCTAATGAAGGAACTTATAATGGATTTGTGGTATTGTGTGAGGAACAAATGATAGAAGAGGCACTTCTCTATAGTTGAGAGCTTGAGGAATAGGTAGACAACTTCTATGCATGATTCTCACGGGAATGCAATAAATTCCTTGTGTAAGAAGGGGAATATATATGCAGCACTTAACTTCTGAATGAGATGACAAAGAGTGGTTCTACTCTAGATTCATACACCATTCATCCTTGATTAGAGACCTTTGTATAGAAATAATGTTAGATGAAGCGCTTGAGATTTTCATTGTCAGCAAAAAAATGATTTCAAACCCAATGCTGAGAATTATAATGCTCTCATACTTGGATTGTGTAAGGCTGAGTGAACAGATTTTTCAATTGATGTTTTCATACAAATGATTGAGAAGGGTCATATACTTAGAGTGATGACATGCATAATCTTAGTTGCGGGAATTGCGGTTGAGGAATAAGATTTGGTAGGAGATGTCTTGAAGGTGTTGTTTGCAAAGAATGTCGTAAGTCGGGAGATTGTGGACAGACTATCTATGCAACATACATTGGAGAAGATTTTGGATGTGATTCCATATAAGAGTTGAATTAGTAGATTATGAATGGGAGAAGTAAAATTGGCCATTGAAAGGAGAAATCTCTCAAATTGCAAGGTATGTTTTCTTTAATTCCATTTAATAAATTCTTTTAGTCATAAAATTCTATTGGAATTTCATTTCTCTCTTACCATACATTTCTTTTTGTTGTGTGTAAGGAACAATCGGGCCCATTCCAACAACGGGCTTAAGGAGTTCAGTAGCCTCTATTTCATCTAAATGGAGGCACTATAAGCATGCCTCGATAACAATAATTAGGAAAAAATTCATATTTTTATATTTGAATACATTGAGGAATAATACTTTTATCTTTCGAGATGATATATTATTCATAATGATGTATTCAATTACAAAAATAGAAATTCAAAATCATGCTGGATATATTTTTTCCCAACACATGCATATTACTGGAACTTTAGCCTTATATGGATTTTCAGTTTTCCCAATGCTCTTCAAAACAAATGCTCCAGCAATAATGTCAGTATCTCCAAGTTGTGATGAACACATAAAATTGAGTTTCTTATCTCCATTGAAAAAGTTCATTACAATAACAATAATGACATCAAGCCTTTATCCCACTATGTGGGGTCGGCTAAATGAATCCTTTTTCTCCATTGTGCCTTGTTAAAAGTTAAATTCTCATTAAAATCTAATAAAGAAAAGTCATTTCTAATATTTTCTAACCAAATTTTTTTAGGTCTGCCTCTACCCTTCTTAACATAAGTCAAATCTAATACATCTACTTTCCTAAACGGGTCATTGGAAGACCAACAATTTATGTGATCAAACCATCTAAGGCAATTCTCTCTAATTTTATCTTCCATTGGAGCTCCTCCAACCTTCTCACGTATATGCTCATTCGTATCATGTCTTTAAGAGAAAAGCCACTCATCCACCTGAACATCCTCATCTCTACAACACTTAACATAATATTATGCTTCTCTTTTAATGGCTAGCATTCTGCACCATAAAGCATTGCAGGTCTAACCACCATCTTATAAATTTTTTTCTTAAATCTGAGGGGGGGCTTTTCTATGACACAACAAGCCCGAAGCATTCCTCCACTTCAACCATCCAACTTGAATTCTACTAATGATATCCTCATCTATTTCACCTTCATGCTAAACAATAGACCCAGGATGTCTAAAACGTGTACTCTTATTAATGACTTGATTACTCAAAGTCACAATCCCCCATTAGAACTATTATTACTAAAATTACATTCCATATATTCAGTTTTAGATCTACTCAAATGAAAGCCTTTAAATTCTAAGGTTGACCTCCATAATTCAAGTTTACCTTCAACTCCCTCTCTAGTCTTATCAACAAGAAGAATATCATCAGCAAAAAGCATACACCAATGGTACAATCTCTTGCAAATGTATAGTGAGAACATCCATAACTAAAGCAAAAAGATATGGGCTTAAGGCTAATCCTTGATGTAATCCAACTGAAATAGGAAAATACTTGGTCAAACCACCTTATGTCTGGACACAAGTAACAGCTCCAGCATACATATCCTTAATGACTTTAATATAAGCATTATCAACCCTTTTCTTTTCAAGAACTCTCTATAACACTTCTCTTGGGACTTTATCATATGCTTTATCTAAATCAATAAATAGCATATGTAGATCTTCCTTATTCTCTATATACTTCTCCATCAGACCTCTAAAATTATGTATAGCTTCCATAGTAGACTTACCCGGCATGAATCCAAATTGATTTTGAGAAACGTCAGTATCACTCTGCAACCTATGCTCTATAACTCTCTTACATAGTTTTAAAGTATGACACATTAACTTAATTCCTCCACAATTCGCACAATCTTGTGCATCACCTTCATTCTTAAAAATAGGGGTCAACATACTCATTCTCTACTCATTTGGAATCTTTTTAGTCTTCAAAATAATATTAAAAAGTTTAGTAAGCCAAAAATTCCTTTTTCTCCTAAGCATTTCCACTTCTCTATTGGGATATCATCAAATCCAATAGCTTTTCCACACTTCACTTTACTTAAAGTCTCTCTAACTTCAGTTTTACTAATACGCCGATAAAAACAAAAATATTTATTTTCAATTAGGGTGCTAAGATCAAAAAAGTCAATCACATTCTCATAATCTTCATTGAAGAGTTTATAAAAATATCTCATCCAAAAAAGGTCGTTAAGTAATAAAAATAGTTTAAGTAGATACATTCTAATGTGTTAAATAAGGAAATAGCATTAAAAAATCAAAAGAATTACGATAGGGACACCTGGAAAAAAAACTAAGAGGTTAGCATATAGTTTCTTGTGGTTTATTTAACATTACTATGCAATCAAATTATAGAGATTGGCTGAAAAATAATAATAAGGAAGCTATGGACGATAAAGGTTATGAATTAACTAAACAGTAAATATGTTGAATATGCTGCTCACTGAAAGGGAAATAATTGAACATCAAGGCCTCCATGTTACCAATTTCATTTCAAAAAGCGCCAGAATAAAGCTAGGTTGTAAGAAGGAAGATAGAAATGCGAGCATTACAAGGTGAATTATTTGCATCAAATGTTCCACTGCGTCGTCACACTGCGTAGTAGTCGATGCCAATTCCACTAGGAGTGTAATATCCGAAGTGACCTGAAGCCATCTCTCATTGAATCAAAACAAGAATAACGTAAGAAACAAATGCACGAATTCGTAATACCGGCAGAAACTTTTCACCTCCGAAGTTGGGAGGGATACTGCAGCCACGGTGAGGGCATCGTGAGTCTCTGAAAAGAAGAGGCGGCGAAGGAGGGTTAGGAGAGCCGACGCTGGGGGCGAGGTTAGGGTTTCGTCCCGGAGAGTGAGGAAGGCCGTTCTCCACAGCCGGAAGCCAGGTGACGAGGACGCCATGGCGTGTAGTATGAATCCCGTCCGGCGGCGTTGCCGGGTATATGAATGGAATTGTCGTGAAAATTTTCAGTTTGGAACAGACCAACCCTAGAAAACCAGAAATTATTCTGTGTGGAATCCGATCAACAATGTGTTCGGTTGCTTGGAAAGGGTTAAACAGTAAATTGACTTGCGTAAATCTTGTAAATCTGACCCGTCTTCCAGCCCGACCCGTGAGATTTAGGTTGGCGTTTATTTTTTTCAGAATTTAAGATGCACGCGAATCACCGCAATATATAACATTTAGAGCCAAAATTTTCGCAGAGAAGCAAAAATTTTCGCAGAGAAAATGTCGATGAAGATGGAGATTGATCTGGAGGAGGATGTTGATTTTTATGAGCAGACATTATTTTCGCAGGTCTCGGAGGAAGCCGATAACCTGGAGAATGCCGACGTCCAGAAAACAAGCGCACATGAAGCAGAACACGTAGAACCAGTGCGACTGGACGAAAAGTTCAGCTTATCGGTAAAGTTCTCCTCCTTCCAAGTTTTCTTTGTGTATTTATTGTGGGTTTAGGAAAGATGCGTATTTTTATCAATAATGTACATAATATTAAATTGTTATTGACTTTAAAAGAATACTCGATGTTCCTTCTTTTGAAGTATTATTGAGCTAGGGATGTACAATAACGAATTTGTAGTTCGATTTCCTTATTTCAAAGTTTTGTTGCGTCTTTATTGCGTATGTATTGCGTATCTATTTTATATACATTGAGTATTTTCTGCGTATTGAATTGGTATACATTGCGCATATGTTGGGTTTTTATTGCGTATTTGTTGCATATTGCGTTGCTTAATTGCTGCTTATTTTTTGCGTATTGGTTGCGTATTTTACCATTCACTTAATGCGTATTTCTCAGGATGTTTATGTTAATGAGAAAGAGGCATACGAGGCTTATCGTAAGTATGGATATAATCTTGGTTTTAGTGTTCGTAAGGATCATCACAGTTACTGGCCAAATTCCAGAAATTTAAAATCCAAGGACTTTGTTTGTTCAAAAGCTGGTTTCAAGAAGTTGCCTGATCTTAATATCCAAAGGAAATATCGAAGATCAGATACCCGAACTGGTTGTCTAATTGAATATTTGCTACTCTTTTGTTGTTCTTTTGTAAATACTCAGCAAAAGCATAGTAAAAGAATAGCTAATGCGCGATTAAAATTATATATTAGTTGTCTTTTGCAAAAATATAGTAAAAGTATAGTAAAAGAGAAACAAAAGCGCAGCAAACCCGAATGTAAGCTTGTGTGCGGTCTCCGCACAAAATAATTTGCCCTAGAAAACATAGGAAATTTTGAATTTATGATTATGCTGCATAATCGCCACAATTGTTTGATTTGTTTGCTATCAAAATAAAAACTCTGAATTTGCTCTGAAATTTTAATATATATACAAATAAATTTTTGGACAAAAAATTGCTCTATTTTTTCTTCTCTACATTTTTGGAGACTACAATATTCATTCTTGAGTGACTGGCGGACATTAAAGCTCCAAAGCAAAATATCTATCTCCATCTTCATCTAGAGCTAGCTATTTGAGATTAGTGATATTGTGTATAAAAGAGTCTCCACCATAATAAATACTCCTTATGAGAAATTTTTAATTTCCTCATCCACTTTAAATCAATCTAGTTATCCTGTTGAATGTTAGAATTAGCTTCATATGTCATAGCAGTGATCGATTTACCAAAATTGGAACAGATCAGCTCCATATAAATATTCTTTAGAATCAATTGAAATAGGAGTATCTAATATGAGTTTTATCATAGCATCAGAGAAATAATTTTCAAAACCTTCATATCCCATTTTTCCTCATCCTTAAGTAGCATGGACACCATTTTACCTTGGAGCTCCATCAGATTGCAAGTTGTAGGCCACTTCTTTAAACATCTATCAAGCAACTGAACATCATTTATAATGTCAATTTTAGTACCAGAGACTACCTTCAATCTAACAATCAGCTTCAAAAATCGAGCGCCATCTTTGATGATACGCCATGAAGGGGAAGATGCTTTATCACTGCAAAAGGAATATACTCCAAAGCCTTAGAGTTTAAAAAAACTCTATCAAGTCTTTCCCAAATACGAGCAAGGCCTTCCTTATTATTCTACCAAGTATACTTAGGACCAATAATACCATGTCATGGAAATCGTTCTTAGTAATGAACTCCTTTATTTCATGTGGTCCTTGAGAAAATAAGAACCTTTTGCCACCCTTCTTTTCTTCCGTAGATAGTAAGAAATTAAAATCACCTCCAAAAATATAAGGATTATCACTAGAAGTATATTCTTCTATCATCTTCCACAAATTCCTTCTTTCAAAAGGGCCTTTATTCATATATACAATAGTCACTATCATTGAGATGTCTCTTGGAGATAGCAATTTCCCAATCACACATTGATTAGAAGAATTCAATATGGAAAAAGAAGAAATCTTGTTTTTTTCGAAGGGCAAGTATACTACCTGATGTTCCATTTGCTGCAAAATGGAAAAAGTCCCAATCATCACCAATAATTCTACGAACTTTAAATTTATCCACATTTACTAACTTATTTTATAATAAACCAATAAAGAAAATGTCATTCTTAAAAACCAAACTTCTCAAATAATAGGAAGCGTCCTTTTTCTTAGCTCCCGTACAATTCCAAAAAACCATAGAAGACATTGAGAATGAAATTGGGATGACACCCCAGCCCTAACATTACCTCCTTCACCTTTTCTTGTTATATGGACTCCCTTTATTGGACCCAACATCTTCAATTCTTTGGGCAACTTAACCTTCTATCCCCCATCCTCTAAAGACCCAAGAGTACCACCGTCAAATTGGCTTTTTAAACTACCATTCATTTCATTATCAAGGATTGATGAGTCAAGATTTAGTGATATTTGATCACTCACCAAAAGAGCACAATTGGTATGTACTCCAATAATTCCACCAGATACATTATCATGTTTTCCATCAACACTATGCCAGTATCCACTCTTCCAGCACCCTCCTCAGTATCTTCATTAAGAACTGCATGATCATGTTCTATTTCTACAAAATTTTGAGGTACATGAAGATTATTAACAAACCCAGAAACTTCAGTATCAATATTTCCAAAACTATCACCATTAAATTTATTGAAATCCTTCACATATGAAGCGAGGCTATTAATCTTCTCAACAACAACATAAACAACCTCATCCTTCTTCTTGAATTCTTCCTTCAATCTTAATTCTTCTGATTTAACAATATTAATATTAGAATGCACTTTTTCTGAGTGAGAAGCTAAGTCACATGAAACCAATTTTTTCAGATGATAGAAAGGCTTAAATCTATTAGTAAACTTGAAGTTCTTCTTCCTATGGATAACATGAATCCACTGACCATAAGAGTTAGATTCATCACTAGCCTTATTACCAATAGTTTCAGCAGACGTATTCTTCAAACCATCAGGAAGTTCTTTAATAAGGTTATGAGAAAAATTATATGGATTTAACTTAGACTGCACTTGAACTTGGTCCCCATTACTCTTCTTACAACATAGATGATTGTGACCAACTCTTCCGCAACTAAAATAGAATGACGATATCTTTTCATATTTGATTCTTTGAAAGAATCTACCTTGAGAACCTTCAATCAAAATTCCTGATGGGATTTGAGCATCCAATTTAATTCAAACATAAATCGTAGGGAATTCCATTAAACATATTACCATCCAAGTAAAGTGGGATACCAACCCTAGAAGCAATTTGAGCAATATTGTACTTATCCCAACAATTTAAAAGGAGATTATGCGAACGAATCCAAATAGGTGAGAATAGACCCTTCATAGTTGATGGTGAAAAATGAGGATTCCAATTGTCCATACCAATGATGTGATTACTGATGAATAGAGGTCTTCCACTCATAACAGTTTCTTTTGCTTTTTGAGCATGAAAAGAACAGAGAAACCAATCCATTCCCAGGTTAGTTGAGTGAAATGCACCAAACTTGTTCCATTGACTCCTTAATTCAGAACTAATCATTGAAACCGGAATTGAGTTACCAAACACCTTAACCACCATAGAATTATGAAGTTTATGAATGTTAGCTTTTTCATTTTGAGGTTCTAATTTGATAGCAACACCATCATTAGTCAATTTAATATTAACTTCTACAGGCACAACTTTAATATATGGAGGTTTCTTCCACACATTGGGAATTTATTTCACTGCGACAACATTAAAATTATTCTGACGAGATTTCTCCAAAGCATTTCCACAAAAAATCTTTAGGTGCTTCATTGCAATTAGTTTTTTTGAAACAATTCCTCTTTTATCGATTCTATTTCTCCTTCTTTTAGCAAAGAATTTTTCATACCATTGACATTGTTAGAAAATCTACTAACTTTTAACACTTGACCCGCAGAAGATAATGCATCTTTATCAAATTGATCTCCACGAATGGAACTATTAATCTTGAAATTATTGGAGATTGAAGGAACAACTATAGAGTCATACACCAATACACTCTTACCCTTACCGGTATAAGAAACCACATTCGAAGGTTTAAAGAAATCTAAAACCTCTCTAATTACTTGAGGAGTTCATGAAGTCAATTTCCATAAATCCAAACTCCTATGAGAAATAGTACTACCTATAAGATGGAATTGAGGGATAACTACCAGCGGTGGCTTTCGATCAACCCCCACCATGACTGTGGTGGTGGGCGCTAAACCACCCACAGAAGATGCTCTAACTAAAATTAAAAAAAGACACTCTCTCACTAGATACATGGACACTCTCTCACTAGTCAACATAAAGAATTTCAAGCGTACCACTCACTATGGCTTGATGGATATGGTGGAAAGGATAATGAAGAATATTCAAGACTCCTTGTTCAAGCCCTTAGGGGAATTACAAAGGGATGACACTCATAAAGGTTCTTTTAACTTGGTAATTTGCCAAAAGATATTTGACTATTGAGCACTAACTTTCATACTTATCCCATAAACAAGTGAAGAGGAGTACAACCTACTGATCATATGATCTAGAAGGGCCAACCTAAGCTTTCCAATGCTTTCTCAAATGATATTAACAAGTTCATGCAGCCTC